GTTGCTGAAGCTAATGAAGGTCCCTGCGCCAGTTTGAGGCCAGTGTCTTGGGCTAGGAGGGGTTCTGTTTCACAAGGGCTTTTCACGGCGCCTTACTTCTGTTTCTCATGGCGAGTTAAGGGCTGATTGTTTTCTCAGAAAAGTGCTGCCGGCAGCCCTGTCAGGTGAGCGCCCTTCCAAGCCCACTGTTTGTGTGTTGGCTTAGTGCACCGACTTTTTCATCTCAGACAGGACTCAATCTCATATCAGTCAGGATTCGACTCGGTCTTTTCTGGTTACCCTTTCCTGGTCTTTTCAGTACTAAGACTTGAAGGAATTTGAGCAGGTATTTTAAAAGAGACAACAGATGACTGATGAATTTCTTACTGATTGTAAAGAAGTTAGGGGATGCTTGATAAGACTCGGGTCGTTTCCCTTCTTGGCAGTTGAGGGTTCTAGTGTTGAAAAGCCTATGCCCGTGCACTTTTACTCCCTGGATGGGTTTGAAGGGAATACGTTATATCTTTTCCCTGCTTAGTAACATCTTTTTGATGATGGTGGAACTGGTAGGAAAATTCTGCTAGAAACAGGCTTTTCTAACATCCCTGTTTGGAAACAAAAAATTTCTCCTGGAAATGTCAGAGGTATTGTGAGCAAACAGTCTCTCAGACCATTGTTGTAATTGGTGATAAGCTAGCACTTTGTGCCTTTTCTGAGAGTAGTAACCAGTTACTATAGATAGACTATTGGGCAAACATCATATTAATGATTGATGGTTAATGGTTTTCAGATTAGTTTTAGTTAATGTAGGTGTATGTTAATAATGTATATAATCAGTTATTTGTTAGTTACATTAGTTTTTATACTGAACGATAGTTCTGAGTACCTCAAACTTCTTTTGGGAAACATGGGTAAATGATAAACTTCTGAACCTATTAGACAGCCCTACCCACACTTCTCTCCATCCTGCTCCATAGAGAAACATGTACTTTGGCGACATCACACCTACTGGGAGCCACTATCCTGGAGTCAGTTCTGACCCAGGGCAGCACAGAGCTGCCCCATAGGGTTTCTAAGGCAGTGTTCTCTGTGGAAGCAGACTGCCACCGCTGTCTCCCACAGGGACTGGTGGGTTCCAGCCGCTGACTGTGTGACTGCTGAGGACTTTACGAGTGCCGCACGAGGGCTCTTTCCTAATCACAGAGAAAGAAAATCCTTCATTGTGCATTCTGTTTATTTTTCATTTGTGTAACTCTGAAGAAAGCCAGGCCTCCTCGTCTATGGACCTCTGAAGGGGTTCTCAGTGTCTGACTTTGCTCACTGACCCCCATTTTGGGGTGGCAGTTTGTACCTCATGATTTTCAACTGTCATCATTTTTCTTTTTTGTAGTCTGATTTCATGACTGCTACACAGCCTCATGCGTTTTACCTCAACAAGCCAGATGAAAGTCCCAATTCTTGGATATCTGAATCAGGAACAGGTATAGTACTTATGTCTATATTTCTCCCCCATCAACAGCTTATTTTTCTAACTTGTGTTACTCATTATCAGATGATAAATCATGTACTGTGTATAAGCAGTTTCCCTAAATGAGTTATATACCATTTCTTTTTTTTTCTTTCTTTTTTTTGCAGTGAGAGAGTGAGAGAGTGAGGCAGTGAGAGAGTGAGGCAGTGAGTGAGGTAGTGAGAGAGTGAGGCAGTGAGAGAGTGAGGCAGTGAGTGAGGTAGTAAGAGAGTGAG